ATATATAATTAGCATGCCTAAAATATGTTAAATGCTCATATAAACGTAAAGGAAGATTTTTGTTGTTGTTGCAATAAATGGTCTGGTGACTGCTGAATTAAAACTGGGCATTGCCGCAAGCTTTTTGGAACATAAAATATAAACAATGATGCGGTTTAAGCTTTAATAATTGGCAGCCATAAGGCAGATTGAAATGCATTCAATTGAATGGGAAAACGCACAGGAATGAGCAAAACGCTCGTATTGCACGTTTTCAGTCATTTCTATTGAAGTCTGTGGGGCCAAACGCTCTGTAATCAGCCAAAAAATGCTCATGTACTTTTTACAACTTTCTGCGTTTTACAGCTTGCGACAAAACTCTCGAGTGTGAACAGGGGCCACTGAAATGAATGGGATTTCTTGTGTTGAGAGCTTCATCGCGCTTAGCTTTGAGCTTCAATACCCTAGGTGTGAACAGGGACTGGTTTTAAAGGTTACTTCCAGAGTCTGCATGAAGGGCTGCACTTTGACAGCATTGATAGTCTGAGTAAGATGATGTACCAAACTTGCTCACAGTAGGCCCTAATGATGGCGTCAGCAAGTGGCAGCTGGATACCCAACTACATGTCTAGTCTACATTACACGGAATAAGTCAGAGGAGCCCCAAACCATCATCTGGATTTGTAGCCACTCCACATTTAGACAGAATGGGAAAATGAAAGAAGACCTCATGTTATAAAACTGTCCAGCAACCATGCAATACTGAAACATCAATTCTGATTGGTTAGCCTTTAACCTCTTGCCGTCCGCCCGTAGTAGAAAAACGGACGGATGGCACTGCTGCATTGGCGGGTTGCCGTCGCCAGACGGCATTTTTTTTCTGCTCGCGCGCGCCCCCCTAGCGGGCACCAAATTCTACCCCGAACTCCCCTCTTGAACATATCCAAGCTTTATTTTACCTTGTGCCTGTAGAAAAGTTTTTGCATCACCAGGCTTGTAAATTTCTTGCAGGGGCAGCTGTTGGGAAGTAAATTCCTAATGATGCGGGCACGTCCCTACAACTACATCTCCCAAGAGCCTTATCCCTGCCCGCTCTCGACATTCAAGGCAACGGCATTGTTTTGCTGGGAATTAAATGTGGAGTGAGATAGAGAGGGGGAGGCGATAGGCAGGAGTTCTGTAGTCCAGCAGGCAGGACTGACAACACTGGTTGGGATTTGAGTACAGAAGAGGCACTGCATTCTAAGTCCAAACAGGAAGTTCGGATGTCACTGAATTTCTGGCACATTGCCAGGTATTTTGTCTGCACTTGCCACGTTTTAAAGGGATAAAAATTGCAGAAATGTGCATGTAATACAGATATGAACAGAACATTTTTTTTTGCCAAGACATACACCTAAAAGGTCGACAAAAATTGAAGAATTAGATACTATTAGATACGACAGTCAAGACAAAGAATGATCTCTGGGTAATACATTACCTTCCCTCCTTTTTTATATGACACACATAGTGGCCGCACATGGTGGAAGTGCCCATGTGACTAATGAACGCAAATAATTCTGCTTACATGTTGCCATCCCTGGTTCCTCCCTCCTCATCAACATAATGAAATCTTTAAATAAAACCTTTCCGTTTTCATTACATCCCTAATTTTAGGCCCAGCGAGGTCATCTCACCGAGTCTCTGAGCTTTTCCATGCAATTACCATTACCAATGCAAGTATTAAACAGATATGTGATGTGATGATGAAAACAAGAAGCAAACACTCACGGCCATTTCCATCTTTCACACGAGGTCCAGCAGCCGGGAGGCTCTCTGACACTGACTCTGGGACAGATCGCCCCTCAGACAGATCCATAGCAGCTTCAGCATCCAAGTCATCAATGTGAGAGAAGATCCAATCAACGGCACGTTCCAGGTTGTTGCTCTGGGGAGAGGACATAATGGAGGTGAAACAGGAGGGAGGAAGGGAGGCTTGAAGGAAGAATGGGAGGAAGGGAGGCTTGAAGGAAGAATGGGAGGAAGGGAGGCTTGAAGGAAGAATGGGAGGCTTGAAGGAAGAATGGGAGGCTTGAAGGAAGAATGGAAGGAAGGGAGGCTTGAAGGAAGAATGGAAGGAAGGGAGGCTTGAAGGAAGAATGGGAGGCTTTGATGAAGGATAGGAGGAAGGCTTAAAGGAAGTATAGAGGGAAGAAGGAAAGAAAATAGGGAAAAAACATGGAAGGAAATTAAGAGGCAAGTACGGGAAGGAAGAAAGGGATAAAAGAAAGAGAAAGTCAGGAATGAAAGATGTAAAAGGGAAGGGAAATAAAACAATGGAGGGAACATGGATGAGTGCAAGCCTGGCTGTAAAGTTGTTCTGTAGTAGTGAGGGATACCATTGATGGTGACATGGAAAGTAAGTGGACAAGAAGAGAGAGAGAGAGAGAGAGAGAGAGAGAGAGAGTGTAGGTATAGAAACACCATGGAGAACTCACCGTAGATCGAAGTGCTCGCACTGCCTGGTCTTGAGAGAAGCCCATGGATATGATGGTCGCTATGTGCTCCTCTGAAGGAGGGTCTCCTCCTGCGGTGACTGCAGATGGAACGCTAACACCTGATAAAATCAGCGGCTGAGCAAAGTCTACAGGGAGATGGTGATTAAAAGCAGATTTAGAATGATTCCCAGGAAGTGAGCGAGCACCAAACGTTACCTAGCCTGTGCTTCTAGAACTGCTCTGATAGAAGTGATAGACCTCAAATCATAGAGCTCGGTTGTGATAGGAGTGACATACCCGACATTAACAAACACTCTGCTGTGATATGACTGCTAAAGCTGACCCCTCAGAGCTCTGCTGTGATAGGAGTGATACACCTGATATCTTAAAACTCTGAGAGAGCAATCATACACCGGATATCTCTGAGGTCTACTATGATAGTAGTGATACACAGGACATATGCCAGCTTTGCTGTGATGGGAGTTATACACCTGACAACTCAGAGCTCTGCGGTCATAGGAGAGAGAGAGACCTCTCACAGCAGAGCGGCACACCTGACATCTACAAAGCTCTGCTGTACTATTACCGATAGCCCTGACATCACAGAGATCTTCCGTGATGGGAGTGATCCCCCTGACATATCAGAGCAATGGTGTGATGGGAGTGATCCCCCTGACATCTCAGAGCAATGGTGTGATGGGAATGATCCCCCTGACATCTCAGAGCAATGGTGTGATGGGAATGATCCCCCTGACATCTCAGAGCAATGGTGTGATGGGAATGATCCCCCTGGCATCTCAGAGCAATGGTGTGATGGGAATGATCCACCCAACATCTCAGAGCAATGGTGTGATGGGAGTGATCCCCCTGACATATCAGAGCAATGGTGTGATCGGAGTGATCCCCCTGACATATCAGAGCAATGATGTGATGGGAGTGATCCCCCTGACATATCAGAGCAATGGTGTGATGGGAGTGACCCCCCCTGACATCTCAGAGCAATGGTGTGATGGGAGTGACCCCCCCTGACATCTCAGAGCAATGGTGTGATGGGAGTGATCCACCCGACATCTCAGAGCAATGGTGTGATGGGAGTGATCCACCCGACATCTCAGAGCAATGGTGTGATAGGCATAACACACCTGACATATGAGCACAAACATCTCAGAGCAATGGTGTGATGGGAGTGATCCCCCTGACATATCAGAGCAATGGTGTGATCGGAGTGATCCCCCTGACATATCAGAGCAATGGTGTGATGGGAGTGATCCCCCTGACATATCAGAGCAATGGTGTGATGGGAGTGACCCCCCCTGACATCTCAGAGCAATGGTGTGATGGGAGTGATCCACCCGACATCTCAGAGCAATGGTGTGATGGGAGTGATCCACCCGACATCTCAGAGCAATGGTGTGATAGGCATAACACACCTGACATATGAGCACTCTGCTCTGACTTCATTTATGTGCTGTAAGAGTTCTATAAGTTACGTTTTGCTTTCCCTGGATTGTTTGTTACCTGGGTCATCCATATGTGACATCACCCACGTCATGGCCGCTTCTGCTCCACTGTTGCCCGTGTAATATACAGCTTTGCGACATGCTTCAGCCGGGAATCCCATTTCTATCAGCTGTGTGACCACAGACTCGTCCAACATTGGAGCTGTGATGAAAAAGGACAGTTTGGGAGTGACCAAGCGTAAAGGAATCATTAGAAAGGAAAACCCAGCATTCAGGAAGAGATGATCAGGCAGATCAGATTAAAAGATTCCAGGAGAAAAGGAGCAGAGAGCCCACAGGCAGACCACCTCCCCCTATACACATGCATACAGGGATCATGTAGAGAATAACACCCTCACAAAGAATAATACATGCTTACTAAAACAGACGCTGCACATACTCTTTCTCATGATTCCTCATTTAATGGGATGAGATGGCAACCTTAGCTGTCATAAACATTGCAGAGTGAGCTGTGAGTGCTGGATAGCAGATCACACTGGTGACATATATATATATATATATATATATGTATACTGGGAAGTGAGCTGAGTATGCTCTAGTGCAGTTCACACTAATGACATAGTTCCTGGGGTGCGAGCGGTGTGTCCTGGAGTGCAGATCACACTGGTGGCATAGATCCCAGGGTGCAAGCTGTGTTTGTTGGAGTGCAGATCACACTGGTGAAATGGTTGCTGGGAAGTTAGCCGTGTGTGCTGGAGTGCAGATAACACTGGTGACATAGATCCTGGGGTGCGAGCTGTGTGCGCTGGAGTGCAGATCACACTGGTGACATGGACATGAGAATGAGTTGTATGTGCTGGAGTGCAGATCACACTGGTGACATGGACATGAGAATGAGTTGTATGTGCTGGAGTGCAGATCACACTGGTGACATGGACATGAGAATGAGTTGTATGTGCTGGAGTGCAGATCACACTGGTGACAGATCCTGGGGTGTGAGTTGTGTGTGCTGAAGTGTAGATCACTGCTGACATGGTTACTGGGAAGTGAGCTTGTGTGCAGATCACACTGGTGACATAGATCCTGGGGTGCAGATCACACTGGTGACATAGATCCTGGGGTGCGAGCTGTGTGTGCAGATAACACTGGTGACATAGATCCTGGGGTGCGGAGCTGTGTAATCTGGAGTGCAGATCACACTGGTGACATAGATCCTGGTGGGCGAGCTGTGTGTGCAGATAACACTGGTGACATAGATGCTGGGGTGCGAGCTGTGTAATCTGGAGTGCAGATAACACTGGTGACATAGATCCAGGGGTGCGGAGCTGTGTAATCTGGAGTGCTGATAACACTGGTGACATAGATCCTGGTGGGCGAGCTGTGTGTGCAGATAACACTGGTGACATAGATGCTGGGGTGCGAGCTGTGTAATCTGGAGTGCAGATAACACTGGTGACATAGATCCAGGGGTGCGGAGCTGTGTAATCTGGAGTGCAGATAACACTGGTGACATAGATCCTGGGGTGCGAGCTGTGTGTGCAGATAACACTGGTGACATAGATCCTGGGGTGCGGAGCTGTGTAATCTGGAGTGCAGATAACACTGGTGACATAGATCCAGGGGTGCGGAGCTGTGTAATCTGGAGTGCAGATCACACTGGTGACATGGTTACTGGGCAGTGAGCTGTGTGCACTGGAGTGCAGATCTCACTGGTGACAAGGATACTGGAGATTGTGCTCTGTGGACTGGAGTGCAGACTACACTGGTGACATGGTCAATGAGGAGTGTGTTGTGTGTGCAGATCACACTGATACTCGGGAGTGAGCTAGAGTGCAGAGGATACTGGTGACATGTATACTATGGAATGCGCTGTGTGTGCTGGAGTGACGATTCCACAGGGGATTGAACATTATATGTGTTAGGGGCCAGATAGCCAGATACTGGGGATAGAGTAAGATCCTGCTAGCATCTTTTACCAATAACGGCTCTCCCAAATATCAGCTGCACAGCAGGGCAATGTCTGTTGGCGAGTGCATGTAAAGTGATGAGATGTTTGTAATATGTAGTCTAGTCCTTTGCAGTGTCTAGTAATGTTTCTGTTCTCAATTTTTCGAGCAGCACGTCTGAGCTGCAAAGTTCCCCTTCCCTGAAATATCCAACACCATCTATCAGTAGTTCTTTTGAGTCTGAAATACATTGTCTAAGCATTGTTGCCCTGATTGCTAAAGGTTACTCGGCTCGAAAAGACAACGTCCTTAAACAATTTTGGGAAGGGGGCTGATTGAAAGCCACATGCACAAAGCTGCCTCTGTCACTCCATCAGCACGTAGTCACCCGCCCGCTCAGACAGCAGTCACATGATCCACAAGAGGCAGAAACACTAACATGTCGGAGAGGAGAAGTGAGGGGAGCAGTACGAGTCGTCATCATCGTTGCCATAGAAACCAAGGCTACCTTTGGGCTCGTCTGGGGTCACCAATGGGGGAGCAACGTCTGGAAGTTCCGCCTCACCCTCTTGCAAACCCCCACCGCGAAACTGGGACAGGTCCAGCTCCTCCGGGACATCAATGGAAACATCTGAGGAATGAGAAGAGAAGAAAATGAAGGACAGATTGCATTACACACATCTGACACAACAACTCAGTGACTGTCACTATTGGTCTTCAGCTCTATGGTCCCAAGGTACAATTTGGCACAAATCTCCAAGTACACAGGGATGACCTCATCAATGTGCTTACTTCTCCTTCACTGTCCAATCATCAGGATAGGAGAGGGGAGTTAAACAAATAAGCAACAGCAGCTCTGCAGGCGAGTGAATGTCACTGAAATGATTTAGGGGAGAAGGATTTCCAGCTGTACAAATGGAGAATGCTTGCCTATAGAGTAAGGCGTGTGTGGGGAGAGAGAGAGGGGGGAGAGAGAAAGAAGGCGAGATTAAAGGAAATCTGTCATGAGTAAGACGAGCAGGCTGCCATTGCTGACCTTAGTTTCTTGGCTGTCACTCAGCTACAACATCAAGGTGCATTTAAATAGAATCTACCTTGAAAAAAAAACTTAGAAGGCCCAATAATGTGACTGACATTCACCGCACCATCACCATTCACCATCCTTACCCAACTTTTTGGGTACCCAGTCCAGACCGAATGTGAATTTCTTTATCTGAATAACAAGGTAATCGGGAAATGAGGCAAATCGTGACGTCCTATAAGAAGAAATACAAAATTAAATACAATTACTAAAAAAAAACGGACAAACTTATCTTCAAAAACATACAGAACTTTTTTTTGCATCTTCATACTTAAGTGCTGTGGATTTGGCCTGCAGGGCGGCGCTCCAAAACTCATCCAACTGTTCCGGGGCTGCAAAAGCCTCAAGGCAGGAAGTGAAGGGGATCCGAGCTCGGACAAGCTCTGGAGGGGGACGGTGATCCTGCTCTGCCTGCAGCCTGCCCTGCTCGTAGGCTGATAGTTCCTCTGTGTAACAAAAATAGAGGAAAATACAATAAGACCTTCTAAGCCACCTTTATAAATATAACTGCAAAGAAACAAATTCTGTACAAGTACAGTATACCTGAAGTAACTTTGTTTCAGTTTTGGATACAGAAAAGAATGATTAAACCAGAATTATTTTCTGTCGGGGTATAACTTGGGACATTTTTCTTCACTTCCTGTTTTAAGACAACAGGAAGTGACAGAAGATTCTCTTTAAAGTAAGGGAAATCATCTCTGAGAGTTGTCACTGGAACAGGTGTCACTGGAAGAGTTCCCTTCTATTCCTGCTCTGGTGACGGCTCAAAGTTTCAGATTTTCCTTCACTTTCTTTGCAGATCTGATTTCATGTTCTGGGCTGACAACACACAGCATATTGTGGACTGAGTGGTGTCATCTCTGCTCACTGTCTTTTGCTATACTACACAACCACTCCCACTGTCGTCTTATCCATAGCACAGAGACCAATTGGCTTCTTGTACTCAAATAAGAACAGGGAGGTCTTAATAGTTTGAGATAAAACAGGCAGAGAGCAATGGACACAGGACAGCTCTGAATATCTGACATGACTGACCGGTATTTTGTGCATCAATAAAACAAAACACTTTCAATAGTATGTTTACCCGCCCAGGAGGGCGCACACTGTTCATTGCTAGGTCTTACATGCACTTTAAATAAACTTAAAAAAATACAAACTAACATTAAAGTGACACTACACTATTCTAGTTTCCATTTACTATTCCTTTCAAACCACAGAAATGTCCTGCACACCTTTATTCAATGCGGCCTCCATGGGTACCGGAAGCTGCAGGATATATTCCACCCTCTGCGTGTATTTGACCTTTTGAGATTGCAAGCACTTAATCTTTTCCTCCACCAGAAAACGGAATACTTCATTGGGATTGGTTGAGCTGCGGCAATTTCTCTGCAGGAATAAAAGTAAAACGTTTTGACCTCACCAATCAGAGAAAACAGTGGTGGGGGGGGGGGACTAAAAAACAATATATAATATGTGTGGGTGCACTTTGTAAGAAAGTATATTACTGACGTGGAAGAATCACAGCAAAAATGTCAAAAGTGTGTCAGTCATTTACGAACAGAAACCAAAAACAAGCTCAGTCATGAAGGGGTTAAGGCTGGGTTCACACCTAGGCATATTGAAAATGCGCGGTTCGCGTCGCGCATTTTGACAGCGATTCAAGGTTATAAATGCGCGCGACAACTGCGCCTTTCCGTGGGCTACTTGGCTGTATCCCAAAGGAAACGCGAAACCAAAACGCCCCAAAGAAGTACATGTACTTCTTTGGGCGTAGGCCGTTTTGTATTGCGTTCGGACGGGCGGAAATACGGCAAGGTGTGAACCAGACCCATTGAATACAATGGGATTTAGATGTTTGAGGATTTAGATGTTTGAGCGTTTTGTAGAGCGTTCGTCGAGTGTTGAACACTCAACCAGGGTTTTGTGGAATCCTAGGGTTCCTCCAGAGGTTGATTTGGGGTTCCTTGAGCTGTGGCTCCTCTGTGTAATGCATGGGGCCAACAACGGGGCCAAATCCCATAGAGCAGTTACGTCACCCACCGACCCCGACTAGGTGTCAGAGGGGTAGCGTGTTCCCTCCCACAATCCACACATCATGCAGGGGAGCCAGAGCTTTGCGGTCACATGACCACATAAAAAAACAAGGGGGAAAAAAAAAAAAAAGAGTTTAAACTGCGACTTATGCTAAAATGTAAAACAAAATGTATGCAGGACAATGGGAAGCAGTGGGGAGACAGTATTTAAAAAGTGGGGTGTTGTATAGTATAACGACATCATGGCTTACCTCCACCATGTTGATGAAGTGCAGGAAGAATTCTTGGGCATCCTGCTGACGATTGGTTGAAAATTCGGGGTGCCCCTTGCCGATAAGCGACTTGAACATCCGCGGTGCAATTCCATCTTGTATGCCCTGCAGAAAAACACAGTGGTGTAGACGGTGCAGAAATAGACAGACTAGGATATAAATACACCACAGGCAGACCAGGCCACACATACCAGGCAATTGAGGTACAGAGAGAAGCAGGGATTAGGGACCATAGGCAGACCAGGGCACACACACAAGAGAATGAAGCTAAAGCTACCACGAATAGAGATACAAAGAGAGGGAAAGTAAGGCACCAAAGGAAGACCAGGGCACACATACTGGGATGGAAGGTAGAGAGAGAGGCACAGGTCAAGAGACCATAGGAAGACCAGGGCACACATACCGGGGTGGAAGGTAGAGAGAGAGAGGCACAGGTCAGAGACCATAGGAAGACCAGGGCACACATACCAGGGTGGAAGGTAGAGAGAGAGAGGCACAGGTCAGAGACCATAGGAAGACCAGGGCACACATACTAGGGTGGAAGGTAGAGAGAGAGAGGCACAGGTCAGAGACCATAGGAAGACCAGGACACACATACCAGGGTGGAAGGTAGAGAGAGAGAGAGAGGCACAGGTCAGAGACCATAGGAAGACCAGGGCACACATACCGGGGTGGAAGGTAGAGAGAGAGAGAGAGAGGCACAGGTCAGAGACCATAGGAAGACCAGGGCACACATACCGGGGTGGAAGGTAGAGAGAGAGAGAGGCACAGGTCAGAGACCATAGGAAGACCAGGGCACACAACCCGGGGTGGAAGGTAGAGAGAGAGAGAGGCACAGGTCAGAGACCATAGGAAGACCAGGGCACACATACCGGGGGGGGGGGTAGAGAGAGAGAGAGGCACAGGTCAGAGACCATAGGAAGACCAGGGCACACATACCGGGGTGGAAGGTAGAGAGAGAGAGGCACAGGTCAGAGACCATAGAAGACCAGGGCACACAACCCGGGGTGGAAGGTACAGAGAGAGGCAAAGGTAACAGACCATAAATAGACCATGGCACACATACCGTGCATAGAGATACAAAGAAAGGGAGAGGTCAGGGACCACAGGCAGACCCGAGCACACATACCGGGAATGAAGGTACAGAGAGAGTCAGGGTCCGGGGACCGAAGACACTTGCTTACTTATACATTCCCACAGACTTCATCTTATACACATGTGGATACAACATTCACAAGTCTTGATGGAAATGTGACATAACAGAGAGAAGGGGCCACCTGAGAGAAGCTAAGGCATGGTGCCATGTGGGAGAGGCAAAGGCACAATGCCATGCAAGAAAGGCTACGGCACAAGTCTTTGCAAAATGGCAGACAGCATGGGCCCATGAGACAACAGGAAAACAATTATCACAATAGAAAAAATGGGAAGCCGCAGCTCTGTGGGAAATGGGGATCTACTATTACAAACATTTAGTGTATTTCTCATGATCCTGCAGTACACATGCCCCAAACCTACATAAGGGTTACAGCCAGGGAACTATCATGTAAACTATGATGGTTGTGATAGTTTGGTTTGCTTTGTTTCATCACTCTGAATGCGATTCCAGGTATGTAGTCTCAGTCCTGCTGTAGCTATGCATGCTTAGGAAAACACATCACCATAGCACCACCAGTGGAAAGAAGTAATACAAAGCTCGCAGTGCCAGGCTGCTGTAAACAAAGCAAGCAGAGTCCTGTCTTGCATTAAGAAGGGGATGTATTGCAGGGACAAGTCTACAATTTTGCCACTTTACAGATCACTGGTTCGGCCACATCTTGAGTATGCGGTCCAGTTTCGGTCACCGATACTCAGGAAGGATGTCCTTGAGCTGGAAAAAGTCCAGAGGAGGGCAACCAAACTTATTAAGGGGTTCGAGGACCTGAACTATGAAACAAGGTTGTTAAAAATTAAATATGTTCTCTTTGGAGGTTAGGAGATTAAGGGGGGACATGATTTTCTTGTATAAAATGTGCAATGGTAAAGGCAACATTATTAGCAAACTCTTTACGATTAATCCCATAACAAAGACTAGAGGCCACCACCTCAAATTGGAAACAAAGACCAGAGGGCACAACTAAAAATTGGTGGAAAAAAAATGTCAACACACAGGGCGCAAGGGGTTCTTGACAGTTAGAGCGGTTAGGGTGTGGAACTCGCTGCCGCAGGAAGTGATTTCAGCTAAGAGTGTGGAATCATTCAAGAAACTCCTGGACGAGTTCCTCGGAGACCGTAACAAACAGGGGTACACACGCACACACCTGCTCAAACATAAATGCATACACGCAATAGGTTGGACTTATGTCTTTATTCAACCTCAAATACTATGTAAAGTGGGTGGCCAGTTCCCGAGATGTTTCATATCACTCAGGATGTGTGTCTGCTGTGTAAATTTACCTTCTGATCCAGTCCAATGTCGCCTTCCCGCTCAGGTGCTGGCTTTGAATACACTCCAGACTGCAAACTGTGACCAAGTTTAGCTCTGTTGGAAACAATAAATGGTGAATCTCTTTCTTACTAGTTACACGTGAGAAATGGATTATCTTAACGTCAAGAAACGTTCACTAAAAGACATATCATATGTGGACACCTAACCATCACACCGTTATGTGCTCCTTGGACATCCCCATTCCAAAACTATGGACATTAGTATGGAGTTGTCCGCCCTTTATTTACTATGACATCCTCCACTCTTCTGGGAAGGCTTTTCACATGATGTTGGAGTGTGTCTGTGGGAATGTGTGCCCAGAAAGATAAAAGAGCCTTTGTGAGGTCAGGTACTGATGTTGAATGAGAAGACCAGGCTTGCATTTGGCTTTCCAAGCCATCCCAAATCTTTTTAATAGGTTTGCGGTCAGGGCTCGGTGGAGGCCACTCAAGTTCCTCCAAATCAAACTGGTCAAGCCTTGTCTTTATGGAACAGGGGCAGAGTCATTCTAAAGCAGTAAAGGGTCTTCACCAAACTGTTCCCACAAGGTTGGAAGTGCGCCATTGTCTAAAATGTCTTTGTATGCAATAGCAATACCAGTGTCATTCACTGGAAACGCCTGAATGCAATCATTTGGAGGGATGTCCATATACTATTGGCCATATAGAAGGTGGAACTCAGGCTGATCAAATCTAAGAACTCATCTAAAGGCCCAAGCCCAAGCCAAAGCATTTTTTTTGGATAGAGTATGGAATCGCTAACTCCGCCATCAGGTTTTTTTTTTTTTTTACTGCTAGATGTGTCACCATTGAAAAAACTTTCTCTTACTTCCTGTTTTGTTGTCAAGGTGTTATAAGGACAGGAAATCTCTATAATGAGGACTGTTGTCAGGTTTTTATTTCTATCCTGATTACACCGGTTCTCTTGGTTTTGCTCTTCTACTAGGTTTCCATTTGTACTTACACTTGGGCACTGAAATCCTGTGTTGGATCAGCTGGGGCCTTCTGAAATATATGTTCCATGCATTCCACATATCTATAGGAACAAAAAATAAATAAATCAGGCATTACACACAATGAAATTCTAAAAGGCAGTGCATTTGGAAAACCTGAAGAAATACCAGCCACTACCTGAGAAGTTGATGAGCAATCATCTCCATAAAGGGTCAGTCTACCAAAATGTGCTATATTAGTTCTAAGTTAAAGCAGAGCTCCAGGCAAAAGTGTTCTTAACCTTGCAGTGGGGCTAGCCCCGCACTGCAAGGGTTAAAAAGAGAACTATGAGGTAACCTTTTTTCCCCATAGTTCTCTTAAGGGTCACAGGGGGACATTTACCAACCTCCTCTCGTGACCCAAAACTCAGTATATAGCGAGCTATTGCCTGCTATATACTGAGATCGCCGCAGCCGGGACAGATCCCAATACTGTCGAGATCCACCCCAGCTGGCTGATTGACAGCAGGCTCTGCCTATCTAGAGGCAGAGCCAGCTGTGCCTGCCCCTTCCCCTGTCCGTTCCTCCAATCAGCGCTGGAGGATCGGAGAGGGAGGGAATCCCTGTGGGGAGCAGTGACTGACAGTCACCTCTCTCTGCAGGGAGATGATCGGGAAGTGAGCGAGCGACAGTATGCGTTCCCTCACTTCCCGATCAATAGAGCAGACAGCTTCATTGTCACATGTCGCCTTGAATTATGGGGATGAGTGTTTTTCACTCACCCCTTAATTCTCCTTTAAGTGCTCGTTTTTGTCTAGGTGCTAAAATAAAAAAGCTATACTCCCCTGATCCTCAGAGACGGCTTGCTCTTAGAGCCTCTCTCCCCCTTCGCTCCAGAAGTCTAAGGTCCCGTGAGTCATTACGCCCTATACACAGTGTATAGGACGTGAGGACACCGAGGGACATAACTTAGCTGAAGCGGAGGAGATAGGTGTCAGGGATCGCTCTAAGAGCCAGTTGGCTCTGAGGATCGGGCGAGCATAACTTTTTTTATTTTAGCACCTAAACAAAAAATGTGCACTTAACCCTTGCAGTGTGGAGCTGGCCCCACTGCAAGGGTTAGGAACAGTTTTGCCCGGAGTTCTGCATTAAGTTGAGGGGGGGTTACTGAGCTATGCGTTGATTAGGCTGGAGGGCTTTTTGGTTCCTATACACAAAAACTTGAAATGTTAGTTTTCACCACAACCGGGCAATTCTCTCAATAGCGACACTTCTTCTGGTAAGAACCTCCAAAAATGAGATTCCCCCTCCAGGGCCTGATTTACTCTCCCTGCCGCCCCAAGGCCAGGTTCCACAGTACGCTCCATTCATCAATGGAGAATGGCAACCAGGGGGCAGGGCTAGTTTACATTTTTTTTTTACTGTTTATTTTTTTTTTAACTTTCTTATTTAAATTATTTCTTCTTATTTTTTTAATTTTTATTTATCTTATTTACTTTTTTATAATTTTAAATCAATTACATTTTTTCTCCCACCTAACTTTATTGCTATCACACAAGAGAAAACAATCCCCTGTGTGATAGCAATTGGAGGTGACAGGTTCTCTTTATTGACCCTGTCACCTCCAATACAGGAGTTCTAGCACAGCACTGTGCTGGAACTCCTGTGACAGGTGAAAGGAAGAGCACAGCACAGCACTCCCCTCTCACTGTGTACACGGAGCGGCAGGGTTACTTTTAACCCCGCCACTCTGTTTACTGCAGTGAGGAGAGACTCGGTGCAGGATTACGGAACCAGAGGAGAGAGGTAAGTGCAGGGGGGAGGCTGCAGACTTTTAACATGTGATTTCGGCGACATCGCCGAGATCACATGTAAACGAACAATCGGCTTCCCTCACTCTACATTTAGTCCTGCTTGTGCAAAGTAGGACTGAATGTAGAGAGGGCAACTTACCGCCCGACGCCCGGGACTTCCCCACAAGGACACCGCTGCCGCACCGAGGCCGGGCCTCGGTTGCCTTGTAGGAAATCCCGGCCTGTCCCCCTCACTTCAGGGGATTTCCTCCCACTTCCTGTTGCGTCTTGGGGACAGGAAGTGAGGATAAACCTCCTCAGTGGGGACACGAGAAAATTCAAATTCTACAGAGAATTTTGGATGAAACCTAACACTGGGAAGTAAAGTATTCAGATCCTGATTTAGTTCTGGTGCTCTCAGATCTATTTCTTTGTTTCTTCCAGCCCAAAGCCCTTTCATTATTCTGTGCCAGCATCTGCAAAGGAGATGCCTCTTTGGTATTTCGCTTCCGAGCGTTGCATACTCACTTGTGCTGGAAGGCAGGTATACTGAATATAACCTGCATAGTTGAGTTGAGATAACAGCTGTTCCCTAAATTGCGGATGCCGGTGTATCCTGGTCCATACAGAGGCTGTAGCTGGCCCCCCGATTCCTGGATCACCTCCCACTCCCCGATTCTCTGGTTCATGTCGATTTCCAGCTCAGTCATTGTCTTGTCCGTCTAAGAATAGAAAGAACTATTATGTATTAAGTTGCGGGCGGCTCGGTCAGATCAACAATACACCGGCACACGCACGCTCACCCACCTTCTGCATCTTCATCATGTCAATACCAAAGTGAGACAAGTGTTCAGCCAGGTTGGGGTCGAGAACCATGTCATCTTCATCATAAGAGTAGACGTCTGATGGGATGGAGTCCAGAGAAGAAGGAACAAAGTTCAGAAAAAGTAAGTTACACCAAAAGTAGCTCTAAACATGGCACATTGGGTCGCCACATAACTGTGTAGTAATCGCACTCTGGTCAGTCAGATAGAGTGCGCCTCATTTCCTGGCTGGATGATGTCTAGAATCATCTAGAACAGGGGTCAGCAACCTTGAACACTCAAAAGAACCATTTGGACCCGTTTCCCACACAAAAGTAAACACCGGGAGCCACAAAACCCTTTTGACATCTAAAATGACGATAACACGGCATATATCGTTTTTTACCTTTATGCTCTGTATAGCATGTATATAGCTATATGTGGGCTTAGTAACGCACCGGACTCTGGGCTTAGTAACGCACCGGACTCTGGGCTTATCTGAGACCCCGCAGAGCCCACCTGATATTGACCCTGCACAGCCCATCTGAGACTCTCTATGGTGGGCTCTGCAGGGCCTCAGGTGGGCTGGTCACCCGGGGGGTCCCTTTCCCTGTACCTCCTCCCAACTCCTCTTACCAGCTGCTGCTGGGGTCTGGCCTCCTCCACCCCCTCCCCTGCCACCTCTGGTACAGCTGATACTCATGTAAGAGGCCCCCCAGGCTGCCCAGACTCCTCACATGGGTACCGGGCGTACCCCCCCTGATGGCGGTGTTCTATCAAAGTTTGTGACTACGTTACAATGTGTGACCGGTGACATGGTCACACATTTCAATGTAATCACGCCCAGTTTTTTGGCCGTGGAATGTGTGACCACCAATAGGTCAAGCATTCCAACGCTTTGTCAGCTGTTCCAGGGGAGATCGGCATCGCAAATGGTATGTGCAGGAGAACTGATCTGCCCTGGAACAGCTGTTCGGTCCTGACATGTCACTTCTATCAGACTTTGTGGAGTCCAATATCACATTCCACCCCACTCACAGAGTCGGATAGAAGTGACATTTCAGGACCCATCAGCTATTCCAGGGCAGATCAGTTCTGCAAATACCATCTGCGATGCCGATCTCCCCTGGACAGGGAGCCGCAGAAGGGGGATGAAAGATCAGGGGTCAGGCTGCTGACCCCTGATCTAGACCTTTCCCCCGCAGGCGGACTATCCCTGGCCCATCCTTTTGTTCATTGGATTTCTGTCCTTTTAATCATGGAGGCTCAGAATCACATGTTACTTAGGAAGGTCTGCATGCAAATACAGCCAGCCCAGAACACACACTCCTCCGGACTGACATCCAATCAAGGCGTTTTCATATTTTCTTAGCTCCTCCCCTGATCCAGCCCACTGCCCGTATAACCCACACACTGTTTTCAGGAAGCTACGTGCTCTCGGCTCGAGTATCATGCAGAAACTACAAGACCAACCTCCTCCATCGGGCGTGATAGTGCCAAGCTTGACAGCAAGTGGGTATCCTGTCTCTTTGTAATGCTGAACGGCATGATTGTTCCCTCCGCTGCCGTCAAAGTATCGTCTGCCGCAGAAAATGGCACCGTCTGTCATATTGAGCCACAGGTTCTCTCGGAGGTCACACACGCTGCACCTCCAGCCACTAAGACAGTAGGGGGGAGCAGAAGAAAAAAAAA